GTGGGATCCTACAATTGACGCATTCGTATCGGTGGGGGAGTGAAAATTGTAATCTACAATTTCTGCCGCCCCCTCCTAAGCAACTTTTATCTCACAACAGACAGACCTCGGACTTTTGGCGTAGCGCTCGTTCGGGTGAAGGGTGCGCGCCCAAATCCCCACACGGCCTGCAAGCAAGCCGGCAGGCAGGCAAGCAAGCAAGCTACTCGACCCCTTCGCCCAACAGAAAGCAAGAAAGAGAGAGCGACCCGTGGAGACATTCCGCTCAGGCTTCGGCATGGTGGGCTTGTCCCTTTTGGCTTACGCTCTGGACAGTCTGCAGGACCACGTTGCCGCAATCGATTGCGATCGTGTGAAGACCGGCATTGAGGGGTTGAGTGGAAACAAGGGTGGCCTGTGTGTCAGATTCATGTTGGGATCAATGTCTCTTTGTTTCGCCAACGTTCATCTGCCATCGGGGACTGGCAAAGCTGACGAGCGGAACGATCATCTCAACGAGGCCGTGCTTGCTTGGTGCTCACGGGCGATGTCGACTGGGTGTCTGTTCCGTGATGTGCGGTGTCCCCGCAGGTGCTGTCCTATGCATTTCAGGGGACATCCCGAAACGGTTCCACGAGACCAGCAAAGAATGGCTTCCACCGAGCTTCTCTTTACACGGCTCTGGAGCACGATTTGACGGTCGTTTTCGGTGACCTGAACTCCCGGCTCGCGGACCTGCCAGACGATGGATTCCCTAAAGGACCGGCCGGCCGTGACAGAGACACCGCCGACACCACCTCTTGCCATTTGAATATTTTGCCCTGAGGACCACCCGAAGCATGGCTGCTGCTTAGTTCTGAAGATTTGGAATGGGATGAGGCGGTGCATAGTGAGGCGGTGACATTAAGGCTATTCGATGAGTTGCTGACTGGCAGAATCAGGTGTGCCAGCCGCTTTGGCTGCCTTGGCTGCTTGCACGACAGTACAATGAGGGAAGTTCATTCTGCAACATCACATGCGTTTCCCGAAGGGTCCCTGGGCTTCCGCGAGGCAGGGAGTTTGGTCAGGATCAGACAAAGTGGTGCAAGGGGTTTCTGTGCTGTCGTCGTGTTCCTTATTCGCTGTAGCCTATCGCTACCAAGCTCCAACTTCTTACCGATGCAGCGCATTTCATGATCGCAGCAAGTTTGCGACATCCGGTGCAAAGGGCTGGTGTGCCGTGTCTTAACTACGCGAGGCAGAAGTAACCTTTCCGCCCACCTACAAGTTGCTGAGCCAGCAAGCGGTCGATCTCGTCACCGAGTGCGGTGCTGTCTCTAAGCAAGGTATGTGGTTGGAGGAGGTGATTTGAGCCCTGCTCGTACACCAGCATGGTGTGATCGTGTGATTTATCGATTCGAGCCCTCGGCTGCTTGTATGCGTTTGGAGCAGATGTTGCTGTTCTTGTTATTGTCGGCACTCGCAGCAACGGATCTTTGTGCTTGTCCACGTTGAATCCGGAGATTCAGGCCACTGATGTCGCAAAGAGGGTCTTGAACCCCAACATCGTGCAGCATGAGGTTCCGTTGCGGACAGGCTCTCTGTTATGTTGGGAAGATTTAGACCAGAGTTCAGGTGGAAGTCGTGGAGTACGACTCTTACGGCGATCTCAGAAGGAGTGTTTGCAAACTGGCCTCTGTCATGGATCTAGGCTCTACTTTGCCTGCTCTTGAAAGTCAAGAGCTTGGCTTGTGCCTTGCTTTCAGGACGAGCGATCACCGTCCCATCGCCGCCGCTTGGATTCACCAAGATGTAGCCAGTTTCATCGACTGCGACATTCCACTGAATGCACGCAGCAGGCCACCATCCGGATAAGCATTCCCGATGAAGAGTTGAGGGCGTGAGTACATAGCCTCGCTGCATCAAATTCTTTGTGGCGTTGCTTGGTAGTGAAATCCACTGCTGTGCCCACGTGTCATGAGATGAATGCCACTGTTTGCGAGCCAAAGATGCTCACACGCCGGGCGAAATGAACCGTTTGGCATTTTGAAGTCAGGGGAGCTGGGCAGCAGAGACTTGTGAGGTTTGTTTTGGGTGCTGGGAGGCTTCGGATTCGGGTGTGACCCGCTGCGAGCCTACAACAAGTTGATGGAGGACAGTGCTTTGCAAGATTTGACAGCTTGGAACCAAGCGAGTCAAGATTGCTTTTTCAGAGGAGCCCTCATTGCACGTGATGTGCTCTGACGCTTCCGCAGGACCTTGCCAAGGCTGAAGCCGAGAGAAAGGAAGGCTTTGAGGGCGTCGCCTGACTACGCGAGGCATGCGTGACTCCATGAAGCCTTACATCGCAGATACTGCTTGCAACCATTTCGCTTGCAGGCGACTAGTCGACTTTGCGATGCATGTTCTCAATGCAATGGGCACATGGTTTAGGCTGTGCTATATGCGACTGTCCACAACCTGCCAGGGTTCGGCTTTTCTGGGGGCTCGGGCAACTGCGAGGCCGGTACTGGTAGGGGTTCTTCGCCATATCGTGCCTTGGTGTTGAATGCTTCGGATGCTGTGAAGCAACCGCCTTCTGCGACCGATGTTTCGGCTGTGAAGGGGTTGTCCTGCAGTCCATAGTAGCTCAGTAGAAGTTCCTTACGGGCCTCTTCAAGATTCACCATGGGACGCCGTCGGATTCTCAGTGGCTATGCTTGTAGCATGTTTGAGGTTGGCATGAGCCGTCGGCCTTGGCACGACTTGACTACTGTAGTTGTAGAATAAGCAGCTGAAGATCTTAGCTAGACGGCACCGTCAAAGAGAGGGCTGAACTCGTGAGTGGCCAGGACCGGCGAAGTGCTACCGA